ATTTATGCTGCGAAAATCACCTCATCAATTTATACATGATTTATTTCATCATATCTTTCAACCATATCCGACCCCTAAAATGTTAAATCAGAATACCTTGGCAAATATCTTTTTGATATTGATTACTCCTAAAAATTGGTAGGAGCAAACACATTTAAAAATATATGAAACCTTGGCCTGATGAAACCCCTTCCTTCGAAATTGAATATCTAAGTAAATATATTCTATTACAGTCATGTTCGTATTTATTTTCCTTCATAGTAACGTCAGCCCTTAGCCTATTTATCACATGGTCGGTTTTGGAATCTAATTCTTTTTCAGGAATAACACCCAAGAAAATATCATCCTGATAAACAACCATCATTTTTTATGTCGTCTCCAAAAGCTTTTCTCTCTTGGTCATTGAAATATGGCACTTACTGTTTTTTGTTTCTTTTTTACACCATTTCATTCGATTTCATCCTCAGCAAGGTGAGGGGTATGTTGGTTGCTGCCATTTTTAACCCTATTTCATTGTGGTGTTACCCAGTTTCAAGATCGGGTGTTAAAAATTTATCCATTCCATCTAAAGAAAGCAATGTCCCTTGTGCGTTTACAGTAGAATAAGAGTCTGAACAATCTTTATTATTCTGACTTGGTTAACGATAATTTTTAGTGCTGTCGCTATTAGAGGAATGTTGCATTGCCCTAATTTTTGGCCCTAGCTTTTGTCGGTGTCACCATTTTAGGAATATTGGTTAACCCTAATTTTTGGCAGGGGTCACCATTTGAGGAATTTTGGTTAACCCTATTTTTTTGCTGTGTCACTATTTGAAGAATGTTGGTAACCCAAAGTTTTGGCGGAAGTGTCCATTTGAGCAATATTGTCTAACCTTAATTTTTGGCAGGGTCCTTAAGTCCGATGGTAGCCGCTTTATTTGGAAAAGATCTACAAATAAAGGGAAATAGCTATGACTTGCTGTTGGTTAATCCCGGTGTATGTATATAGACAGATTTATTCAATTGTAGTTCAACTGTCGTCTATCCACGGCGCTATGTTGGGTTTTCAACAGAGGAGGGGCTTTTTAAAACTGAATTTGTCTTCTTGGCCTCAAACTGAGCTATATTATTTGACCTTTTTGTTTCGGTTCATGTTCAGTGATTTTGTTCAGCCTAAGTAATTTTAGGCGAGTTTGAACCGTTCTACCTGACCGTTATATATATCCTTCCATATATTCCATCGATAAAGAAAACTGCTGTCTTTTAGCCATCTTAGAGAACACTTTTTGCCCTCCATCAGCATGGCTGATGTAAGCCTCTAGTAAAGCAATTCATTGCGGCTTTTTTGGCGTTTTCCACTGACATGAAATGAAATGAGTATATTGAATCAATTGCTACGTCTATTGTTTAGGGAGGTTCGTTCACTGTATCATTAAAAGAAGATGTCTATGAGAATGTGAAATGATTTTCAAGAGAGGAAACTTTCTTGGAAGCAATAAAATTGCTGCACTCTGTGTTAGAGTCGAAACAATAGAAAACCCAAGACTCTATTCTCAGGTATCTCTATATCTGAGGTAAACAATAGCATTTAATCGCCAAAGAGAACCTTTTCTGCATGCCATCAGTATGGCTGAGGTTAAACCCCAAGAAAGCATCACTTTGAACCTTTTTGGACTTACATTTCCCATTGACATGAAGTGGAGTGATTATATTGAATCGATTGCTAGGTCTTCTGATAGGAAAGTTGGTTCACTGTGTCGGACCAGACAATTCTTCTCATCAGAATCCATCTTGCCCATTTATAAACCTACCATTCGTCCGTGCAATGAATATCACGGCCATATCTGGTCTGGTGCTCCTACTATATATTTCAAGATTCTTGACAAAATTCAAAGAAGGGTCTGCAATATAATCGATCCTGACCTGGCATCTCGAGTTCAGTCACTTTCTCATCGACGTTACGTGATGTGACGTCCCTCTATCAAATATTTTCATTGCAATTGTTCTGATGAGCTTAATACTTCGACTGCAGGAATTTAAGCGATCTACTAGACTGGCATTATCACTTTGCGTCTTAGTGGCATTATCGCCTTGTTTGGGGTGAAATGATTTAAAAACAACAAAAAACGTCTACAGTCTATCTCAAAATCTTTCGCGTCCAGTAGTAGTGGTAGTGATTATCAAGATGATTTTTAGTCGAGGCAGATTAAGATGATGAACGGATTATCTTAATCAGAGCAAAAACTGGGTCGTTTTAAGTCTAAGTTTATCTAGTCCTTGCTTTATATTAGGTCATCATTACGAATAAATATGGTGAATTGTTTTTGTTTTTTTATTGTTGTCCTTATGATTGCCGTAATGTTTTCATCAGACAATTCTTCTCGTCAGAATCCATCTTGCACATTTATAAATCTACCATTTGTCCTTGCATTGAATATCGCTGCCATATCTGGTCTAGTGCCCTTACACTATATATCAAGTTTCCTGATAAAATTCAAAAAAGGGTCTGTAATATAATCGATCCCGACCAGGCGTCCCCACTTCATTTACATTCTCACCGACATGACGTGGCTTCCTTCTGTCTTTTCTACAAATATTTTCATGGCAATTGTTCTAATAATTTTTCCTCCTTGGTGCCACAACTGCAAGAATTTAAGCATGCTACTAGATTAGTAATTAGGTCCCACCGTTTTACTGTTTAACTAGTAAGATGCAATAGTAGGTTCTATTTTAATAGTTTCTTTTCTCGCACTTCTCACATGTGAAAGAGTATGCTTTCCCGAACACTAAACTCTTAACTTGTTCAAGTCTAGGATTAACCAAGTTGTCCTTATGATTGTCATAATGTTTTCATCAGACAATTATTCTCATCAGAATTCATCTTGCACATTTATAAATCTAACATTCCTCCGCGCAATGAATATCGCTGCCATATTTGTTCTAGTGCTCTTATTCTATAATTCAAGATTCTTGACACAATTCAAAGAAGGGTCTGTAATATAATCGATCCTGACCTGGCATCTCGACTTCAGTCACTTTCTTTTTTTACAAATACTTTCCTGTCAGTTATTCTAATCAGCTTTCGTTTTATGCTTGAAATAGCTAGAGGTAACTGTAAGTTTTATTCCAATAGTTTTATAAACGAGGGAGAACTATGGAAGAAAAACTTATTCTGCCATTTACGTTTCCTCCCTTATGGGCATTATTATAACATAATATATAATATAACATATTAAATTATATTATATATTTAATATATAATATAACATATTAAATTATATTATATATTTAATATATAATATATATTAAATTATATTGTATATTTAGTATATAATATATTAAATTATATTATATATTTAATATATAATATATTTAATTATATCATATATTTAATATATAATATAATATATTAAATTATATTATATATTTAATATATAATATAATATATTAAATTATACCGTAATTCATGTAATGACTGAAAGGAAAATGAATGACAAACATTCTTTTTTCTCAGAGAGACTTTTATACCACTAAAACATGCACCAAACTATATATACACATATGCACGTGTCCCACGCGGAGAAATTATAACATAAATGCAACAGGAAACAGCGTGTAAAAAAGAGGGAATCTTATAATATTTCCCGCGGGAAGAACTGGAGTTAATGCGGTTTCTCTATGAACCAGTTGAGGCACTGTTTTTTTCTCCTGTAAGACCTACCGCTGTGGGCGAGGAACGTCCTTTTTTTCTGCAGGCCCTACATCGAAACTGTCCTTCGTTATTCGATCCCTTGACATTAATCACCGGCCGTCATGTGACTTCGTTACTATCTCATTTTCCTTTCGTCTGTGAAACACTCTTCCGGTTTTTTGCTTCTCTGCCACCTACGATCATCAAAAATTTAAATGTAACCTCAATCGCCATCTTTTATCTTTTATTGTCCTTTATCCTCGCTGACACCTTTCTATTTTCTTTCACTCTCAGTAACACCTCCCCCCCCTTGTGTCTTAGTGGTATTATCGACATGCCTGAGGGTGAAATGGCTAAAAGAAAAATTCATTCCGGGAGCAAATCTAACAGATAAAAACGAGGTTAGCAATGATAACAGAGAAAGGTAATCCATAGAAAATAAACAACAAAAATGGATGTGGATGAAACATACAGCAAGGATAAATGGTATGAGATGTAGCAAATAGTTGCTTGCTTGGTATTTAGTATAGAACATTGACTTAGTATTTCCTGCAAAGTTACAGGTATGTGTAACCCAGAGGAATTGGATACTCCTTTAATGAACTTAGATTATTATTTCACTAGAAGCTCCAGCTTAATGTTAGCGAAAGGCTACATATTTGGAGCCCCTAGAAAGGATAGACTTCACTACTTAATCGCAATGATAAGCAAGATTAGCTTGTTAATCATTGTAGCATGACAAGGTGACTGTGTGTATGTGTGTGTGTATGTGTATATGTGTGTGTATATGTGTGTGTATGTGTGTGTATATCTGTGTGTCTGTGTGTGTGTGTCTGTGTGTGTGTGTCTGTGTGTGTGTATGTGAGTTCATAATTCAATACTTAATGTCCATTCGGAAAAGTATAATGCTGCATACGCAACAAAACTGGCTTCGATGTCGTCAGATTGTTTGATTCATTCACTCAGCAGCTGGTAATATTGGAGAGATATCGTTGGCAAGACGATATAATGAAAATTATCTTCTTTCTTACCTCCACATTTAGAAGAGCGCTACTGTCTGTGGCACCTCCTGGTCTCCAAAACTAAAAAAAAAAAAAATCAGTGAATGTTATTTATTTCTATGCAGTTTCACCGAGCTGACAGGTCGGCGACTTTAAAATAGACGACTTCGACAGATAATTCTTGCCAACTTGCCCGATTACGATAATTTTTTTTTCCATTTTTTTTTTTTTAAATCGTTCTTGATTGCTTCTTTTTTTCATTCTTACCGCCTTTTTCACTTAGTGATATCACTTGGCTCTTATTTTGTTGGTTTCTTCTCACTTTTCTTATGCTTACTATTTACCGTCCATTCTTTCTTTTACCATGTCTATTTTCTTTCTTCTTTTCTTCACTTATTTATTTCGGTTACCTTGTTTATATTCTTTCTTTCTTTTTACACGGTTTTTCTTTCTTTCATTTTTACATTGTTTATTTACTTCCTTTATTTTTACATTGTTTACTTTCTTTCTTTCTTTCTTTCTTTCTTTCTTTCTTAGTTTACCTTTTTAGTTCTTTTATCTTCTCTATTTTCCTTCTTTTTACAAGGTTTATTTTCTTTCTTTCTTTGTTCTGTTTCTTTCTTTCTTTCTTTACATTGTCTATTTACTTGTTTATTTTTACATGGTATATTTTCTTTCTTTCTTTCTTTTAACTTGTTTATTTTCTTTCTTCCTTAGTTTACCTTTTTAGTTTTTTTACCTTGTCTATTTTCTTACTTTCGTTTTACACGGTTTATTTTCCTTCCTTCTTTCTTTCTTTCTTTTACCTTGTTTATTTTCTTTCTTTCTTCCTTTGTTTACCTTTTTAGTTCTTTTACCTTGTCTATTTTCTTTCTTTTTACATGGTTTATTTTCTTTCTTTCTTTCTTTCTTACTTTCTTTCTTTCTTTCTTTACTTTCTTAATTTTTACATGGTCTATGTTCATTCTTTCATTTTACATTGTCTATTTTTTCTTTCTTTTACCGTGTCTATTTTATTTCTTTTCCATAGTATTTCTTTCTTTCTTTCTTTCTTTCTTTCTTTCTTTCTTTCTTTCTTTCTTTCTTTCTTTCTTTCTTTACCTATTTATTTCTTTACCTATTTATTTCTTTTACCTTGTCCATTGTCTTTCCCTGTCTTTCTCCTTTTCTTTCTTTCTTTCTTTCACTTTCTATTTCTTCTCTCTTTTTTCTTTCATTTATTTTTCTATTTATTCTTCCCCATTTCTCTCCTCATTTTCTTTTTCTTTGTTTCCTAATTATTATTTTTCTTGATTATTTTGTCTTTCTTTTTCCTTTCTTTATTTGTTTTCCTTCCATCATTTTTTTCCCTTTCGTCCTTTCTTTCTTCTTTTCGTTATCTTCTAATTCTTTTTATTTTCTCTCTTTCATTTCCTTTGGTTTCCTTCTATCTTTGTTTTCCTTCAGACACTGATTCTTCTCCTTCAAGGTCTCGCCGATTTCGAAAACACATTTCGTTGTTTATTCTCTCCAAATATTGTTGCCAACATTAATAAAAGTCGAGTATAAGTCACCTTAGAAACACTGAAAAAAAACATTGAAACCTTTCGAAACAAGAATAATTTAAAAGGTAATTTGAAACGCTAGTTATTTATTCGACAGCTGTTTAGAATTGATTTTCCGTATTTTTTTTTTAATTTTTTTTGAACTTTTCGAAAAAAGGAATCAGATTATCTAAAATGTCTTTTCTTTATCAACATCAAGCGAGCAATTCCGACATGTTGATTGCGCCTCGGATTCATCCTTAAGAAATGTCTGATTTTCTCAGGACATAATGGTCACTATTAGATGTTTCCGATCATAGGATCGAAATCAACTGATATACGATCATGTTTATCACAGTTTGAAATACTTTCAAGGTTCCACTCTCTTCTGGCAAAATTAAACATGTATACATGAAATAATAAAAGTAGAAATAGTTATTTGTTTGGTTGATTTTGTTTAGCAGTATATCAACACATCAATGACTTATTTAATCCCGAAATCAAAATACAGTGAGACCCCGCCTATCCGCGTTTCAGAATTCGCGGCTTCACGCATTCACGGATTTTTCTTTAGAACATATGTACTTGTTATTCCCGGAAACCCCGAATATTCACGTGTTTTTCTGAAGAACATATGTACGAATTATTCCTTGAGAACTCTCTCGATTCGCGTATTTTAAAATATTCTTGTATTATTTTCCTGTTATTTAAATGACTTAAAACATATAACAATCCATTTTTATGGTAAAAAATAGAAGAATTGTACATCTTCATTGTAAAAAAACAAACGCAAAAATAGTGATTGGGCTTTGTTCTTTGTTAGGGGTTGCGACTGGGGTCTTAAAAGTGGCTTATGCTAAGTCTAGGGGCATTATCACAGTTCTGTTTTTTGGAAAATGTTTTAAACTTTATATTTTATGTCTTGTTACACATATTTTATACAGTATTTTCAGTGGTTGTATCGATCTATGCATAATTAAAAAAAGGTTATTGTACGTAGGAAAGAAAATTTACGCTAAATGTATGATCACCAATACTATTTTTCAAAAATGTTTTTAAAAGGGTCCGAAATGTTTCTAAAGTGTTTAGGCTGAAAGGTTAAAGAATATGAGGTTTTAACAATCAAATTAGGTATTTATAAGCACTTTTAGGGGGAGTTACAACTATTCGCGGATTCTAACTATTTGTGCCCAGTTCTGGTCCCTAACCCCAGCGAATACGGAGGACTCACTGTATTTTGTACGTATTTTATGCTTTCCAGCTACAGATATTTTGAACACAATTTTATAGTTTCGGGGTAAAAGGTGTAATGGCAAAAGTACGCAGGTATAGGCTTTAAGTAAGCTTTATTCAAGTAAGAATACAAGGTTCGCGTATAGTGTTCATTCATCGCTCTCTCAAAGAGGTGGAGTAACGAAACAAGGGGAGACCACTCTTGATTATTCATAACAATAGGTATGTTTTTTTAGATATAGGTTTTGTAGATCATAAAATGTATTGTTTGTAATTTTACTATAAAAATTTATTTTTAGACTTTTTTTTAGTGTTGTATTGATTGCGATTTTGCTATAAAAATGTATTTTTGTTTCTTTTATTATGAAATGTATTATTGTTGGCAATTCTACTATAAAATATATTCATAGTCATTTTGCTATAAAAATATACTGATTATTTTTGTTTGGGGATAACTATTTGCCTATAGCTTGAACCCTAACAGGTGTTACCACCCCTGGTCAGGCTGGTGCTTGGAACTGCAGTAGTTAAGAGGTGGTTCCACGCTCCTCAAAACCTCCAATCTCCTGATCAGAGGCATTGCTGCCGATTGTAGTTTATCGTCATACCCAGGACGAGAAGAAGACATGGAGATTATAATATGACGGTGGCTTCGGAATAAATACCTCTACAACCTTGTTGGCATGGCAGCAGAGTTTTAACCTTCCCAACAATATCTCATATTGTTTTTTCCCCAAATTGGCACTTTAAGAGTGTTACTGGTAATAACTCCGTACTAACGGCCACATTATCGACTGATTAACGACTAAACAGGTACTCCAGCAAAGTTTTCTTTATTAGCAGGGTGGCTAGACAACCATTAAGATTAAAAGCTGTTAAAGGGGGGAGGGTTCAACGGTCAACTAGCACAATGGGCTAGACTAGGGGCTCTATAGCTATGGATGCAGCCGGTGTGATGATGACAAATTGAAACAAAACGAATAATTCCGTTATTATCTACTTTTTCACGTATTTATCCAGTGGAACATGACCCAGTGTACATCTTAGTGCTTCGTATGTGCATTCTAAATAGTCTTTCCATGCAGAGTGACCACAGATTCTCGATTGGATTTAAATCAGGAGAGTTTCCGAGCCATTCGATACTACTTTGACTTACTCACTGGTAAGGATTGCCACTATGTTCGTGCAGCGTTACAATTTTCGTACGCTTCCTTGGAGGAACGTCCATCGCAGACAGTTGCCGTAGGACAACTAATCGACAGTCAAGACAATAGTGTCTTGGCGTTTTTAAAAATCTGATGCAATCACGGATGACGCAATATTTTTCAATGTCAATTAAATTTCATCATGCACCCCGAAAATATATTCATATTACTGCACACGACTGCAAATGACCTAATCTGAAGAAAAATAGAAATCGATTACACCCTGCCACTCCACTGGGTCTAAAACTGACCATATAAAGAAAGAAAGTAAACTAAAGCAGTTGTTTCAATTAATTTGCACAAAGGGGGGGGATTACTAGACAGAAATAAACGGCCAGGATGAAGGGATCCACCAACGGAATCAATGGCGACGTGTGCGTAGCCAAGACGAACCAAGTTGGAGGATATCGCCTGTGGCTTAACTTGGTGAGGGATGGGTGCCGCCAGGTATAATTGCCCAAGATGCGCTATGTATGAATGAATACCTTTCTGGCTTATAATCCAGATATATGAAGGCAACTGGTCAGATGCCTAGCTACCCAGTGACCCTACGACCACTCCCGGTTACGTGACTGATGAGGAGAAAGACAGACAGCCACTGAGGATCAATCCAACAAGTCGTTGTCTGACGTGAATGTTACATTGTTGGTTGATTTTTACGACATGTCAGACCTTGTTGGGTTATTTAATGTCGAATTTTGTATAAGGCACCCAGTGAAGATCGAACGCACTATTCATTATTAATGGGTAACCAAACTAGCCTCACGAACCAATATCCCACGCCAATGCGTCTCTAACTGTTGTGACCAAGTAAATGGTTAAGTAATAACAAAAACCAGGTTTGCAGATATATCGTATGTTAAAGAGTAAGTACACCAGAAGAGTATTACACGACTAATGAGAGTGTATCGAATGAACTATCATTCGATCTATTCACTGTTCCCTGGACACTGCTATATATTTAAAACGTGGGATGTGTGTGGCACAAGGCCGAGTTTACCGTGGGTTCTCCGAGCCCGTACGCTCGGCCAAAAATATTCCCGTAGAACCCACATAAACGGGTCCGGGCCTGTCTACCTACCCGGACGAAACGTTGCCCTTCGGCAAATCCTCATCCGGGTTCCTCTCTGCCAAAGACAGAGAGTTCGACAGTTGAACAGGCTATGGCACCGTTCCCTGAAATTTCTCTCCTACTAAATTTATAGTAGGCGGAAGGGTCTAACATAGACTCTTAGAGGGAGGATACCACAACACCCCCAATTTTCAGCATGACTCCGTATTTTTTTATAATTACCACACAATACTTTTTATTTAATCTACAAAAAAAAAAAAAAAAAAAAAGAAAACAATCAGGAACAACCACTTTGAAAAAGCTATCTACAGGAATTACGTTTACAATTTTTTTTAAAAAATGATAATAATTTCTAATAATCCATCGGGGTTTCCCCGAATGATTCTCGTCTCCAAGACGTTGTGACCAAGTAAATGGTTTAGTAATAACAAAAACCAGGTTTTCAGATATATCGTATATTAAACAGTAAATATGCCAGAAGAGTATGACACGACTAGTGAGAGAGTATCGAATGAACTAGTACTCGATCTATTCACTGTTCCATGTTCACTGTTATATTTAACGCCCCCCACGTGGGTCGTATGTGGCACAAAGCCGGTTTATTGTGGGTTCTCCGAGCCCGTAGGCTCGGCCAAAAATATTCTCTTCGAACCCGTATAAAAGGGTTCAGGGCTGTCTACCTCCCCGGACGAAACTTTGGCCTTCGGCAAAGCTTCGTCCGGGTTCCTTTTCCGCCGAGGCGGAGAGTTTGACAGCAATGACCGGTTTGAAATCGTTCCTTCCCTGTTCACTGTTTCCCGAACCTTCTCTCCTACTAAATTTATAGTAAGCGGAAGAGTCTAACATAGACTTTTAGAGGGAGGACACCACAACAACCACTTTTCAGTCTGACTCCGTATGGAGTCTTTTTTTTTTAGAATTGCCACACAATTCTTTTTTTTATTCAACCATTTTCACAAAAAAAAAAGAAAACAGAAAAAAATCACTTTGAAAAAGCTATCTACAGAAATTACGTTTACAACTTTTTTTTGTAAATGATAATAATTTCCAATAATCCATAGAGGTTTCCCCGCATGAGTTCGAATCTCAATTTCGTTGCCAAGATGTTGTGACCAAGTAAATGGTTAAGTAATAGCAAAAACCAGATTTGCAGATATATCGTATATTAAAAAGTAAGTACACCAGAAGAGTATTACACGACTAGTGAGAGTGTCTCAAATGAACTAGTACTCGATCTATTCACTGTTCCCTGTTCACTGTTCCCCGAACCTTCTCTCCTACTAAACTTATAGTAGGTTGAAGAGTCTAACATAGACTTTTTAGAGGGAGGACACCACGATACTAATATAGAGGATGTTTCACAATTTCTGAAGAACCACAGAGTAACGGAAATTACATTTATTGATAGGTAAAAGTATAC